CTATCAGTTAACACCACTTAGTACAAGCTCAGAATTTTAAATACTGAAAGCACACCTGTACATCTATTAATTTTTCCCCAAAACATACATTTAGGCAAGAAATACTAAGAATGTTATGTTTAAGTAAGTAGGGGAAAAAATGCTATGACCCTAATTCCACAGATAAATGTAATAAGTGAATAAAAGTGTATGATGATGCCAAGAAGGGAGAAAACTCTGACAAAGCTTGACCAGAAACAAAACTCATTTGCCTTAACTTTGCTATAAAAAACAATGTTTTCTTTGGGACTCCTAGGTGGCTCAATCAGTTAAGCGTCTGACTTTGGTTCAGGTCATGATCTCAGGGTTCTGGGATTGAGCTTGTCAGGCTCCCCACTCAGCAGAGGGGTCTGCTTGTCCCTCTCCCTCTGCCCCTCCATTTGTGCTCTATCTCTCCCTCAAATAAATATAAAATCTTAAAACAAAACAAAACAAAAAGAACAAACAAACAAAAACAATATTTTCTTCAAGCAAAATGGTATCATCAAGATCAGGCCTATATTCCAGAATATTTCCCACTGCCAAAATAGCATCTGTCAAAAGAAGTTTAAGACAATGAATTGAGCATTAGATTCTCATTTGTATTCCCACTCCTTACCACATCTTACCATTTTCTATCCTTAATCTTAGGTTGAATCCCATGAAATTGCTATTTTTGTACATCAAAAATGGTGAAATACCGGCAATTTCATACAGCTCAACGTAAGTAAAATGGCCAACAGAGCAGAAAAAGAGAGAGAGATATGCACCCAGCTAGAATAAGGAGAAGGGGACTATCCTCATGCTATAAAATTGGTGGTGGTTCTGACAGATACTACATAGATGAAACTAAAATAATTCAAGTACTAACTTGCCATCATCCTACAAGAAGAATCAACATGGAGTCTCAAATCATAAAGAGAAAGGACTCTGAGAGATTTGGGCAACAGCCCCTAATTTGGAGGGCCAAGGACTGAAGCAAAGCTGTATCTTGGGACAGACACTAATCACTATCTCCATACTTCAACCTGAGGGCTCTTTGAGAGCTCATCCTACAGAGAAGCCTCTCAACCCCAAGGTCCCTACTGCTGCAGAGGGTAGCTCCCTAATGCAGCCATCCTGGGAGGAAACAAGCATGGCCTCACCTTACGAAAAGCAGCAGGCTGCAAGCCCACTTTCCTTCGGAGGTAGCTGGACTCTAGTCTCCTATACTCTTGTGAAGCAGGACCTTCAGACAGGCCAAAGCTCTTACTTGGCTTACACGTCACAAAAGAGAAAGCTGAATGGAGAAAGCTAATCCTGGCCTCCGCAGCTTCACCCAGCAGAGAACAAACACTTCATAAATCTCCCCATCTTCCCACAGCCACAGCTACTCTCTTCCCCTCGGCCACTCCTTTTCATGACAGGGACATATTCCCCAGCTGCTGGGTCCCTGATGCTCATGCAATCTTTCAGAATCCAGCTCTCCAACAAAGGATCTGAGGGGGAATAGATCAGCTAGCTTTCTTGTTTGCCAACAACACCTGCCGACTCCAGAGAGGAAATGCACTGGGAGACTCTCCTGGACACACAAAACTGAGGACTACAAGTCCAAGCTTAACGAAGGGCTGGAAGAAAATGAGAGGACATGCTACAGGGATCACAGGGACCATGTCCCAGGACAGGAAGAGTCTTATGAACGCACCAGGGCTGTGAGGGATGACCTGCAACCTTCCCTCTACGTCTGCCTCCCTTGCTTCCTTTTGTCCACCCTCGTTTCACTTTCTAATGACTCAGAATGCTGGGCAGTAATACACTGATTAGCCGAGCTCAGGTCATAGCTGGCCAGTCTGACCTGAGGCAGGAAGATGGAGGATCTGACATGTGTGAGAGGCCATTTCCCAAAAGGAAACCAGGGGGAATGGACGCTGGCCAGTCAATATGAACTAACACCCACAACAAGGAAACAAAGTATTTAGTTAGAACAGGAAGGAATTGAGGCCAGTTACACTCTCTGTTTTGGGACAAATTCTAGGTGTATATACATCTGTTATTGTTCAAGGATGAATAAAAAGGACAAAAATACTTGGACTTACAGGGTACCATATAAAGAATGCAGAACTGAGGGGTAAAAAACAAACAAGCAAACAAAAACAGTTAAAACCAAAGCCAGAAAAGAACATGTTTCATACCCTCAAAGAACTGAATCTGAAGTGGGGGAAAAAAAGAACCCTTAAGAAAAATCTTTAAGAAAATCTTTAAAACCCTTAAGAAAAATCTCCCAAACACAGTAAATATAACAAAGAAATCAAAAATGCATGTGGAAAAGTGAGACTCAATAACTAGAAAATTTAATCCCCAGAGAAAATAAAAACAGTATATAGTAAGGGCAGAACACATAAGCCGAAGATATGTTTGAATTGACAGATGGAAAGTTTAATAATAAGTTATACCTAGATACACGGTCAAAATTTAGAATTTCATGGATAAAATTTTTAAAATCCTAAAAATGTCTGAGCGGGGAAGTGGAGGGGAAGGTTATCTTCACTGAAGCATACATTAAAAAGCTTTTTTAAGAAAGAAAGCATATATTTTACAGTTAAATTCTTTTATTAAAAGAAAAAAAAAAAGGATGACTTCGGAACTAAAGTTCTACACTGAGTGTCCAAGAGAAAGACTCAAAGTGACAAAAACTAAAATAACAAGAGCTTTTAATATTTATTAAGGACTTAAAATATGCCAGGCATTGGGCTAAGCATTTATTTGTATTCATTCAATCTTCATAAAAACCAAATAAAAAGGTCCCAATATTATCCTCACTAGACAAAGAAAATGAGACACAGAGAGGTTAGATAATTTGCCCAAAGTTCACACAATAGATGGGAGTTGCCAGAATTTGAACCCAGGTAGCCTCATTCCAGGGCCTAACCATTTGAACTACTGTTCTAAATGAATTCCCTCTAATGTAAAAAGGGCACAGAGATCAGGCAAATCCAAACAAACTACAAGTGAGTGGTAGTTATAGTAATTTTAGTTATTAAAAGGAGAAAAGATAATTATTTGTCAGTGGTGAGAGTTAGAATTTATGATCAAGAAAAAGAAATACTCAGCTCATGAGTGTCCAAACCTCGTCGCTCTTGCCCCATTGGAGATATCCATTGGGGCAGTTGCAGAATGCATGACCGAATGAGCTAGTAAGCAAAGATCGGGCACAGACCCTTATGTACTAAATTTAAAAAGTAATAAAATCCCTAAAAATAAAAGGGAGCTGACAGGGGAACAGTGGCAAAAAAAAATAGGTATAGTCATTTCTGCTATAAATGCTTGTTTCAAAAAAATTTATTCCAAAGTGAATGATTATATCAGGGAGCAAATTTTGTATTGCTTAAGTGAAATTTTGTCCCTGAGAAACAGAAGTGAAGAAGGCAGAAAACTGCACCCAGTTGAACCCAGCCACATAGGGATACACAAGACACACACACACACACACACACACACACACACACACACACACCCTCCAAGGTCTACCAGTTACTTCAATTCACTGTCTGTGTTCACAATCATCCACATATGCCAAAAAACTTCCTGTCAGATTTCAGATAACCCACTTTCTACCATTTTGCACTAACTCAAAATCTGTACTCTTTCTGACATCCACGTCTACAAGTATAAACTTCAGGTCTTTTATTGTAGCATTTATGTTATTTCTAACCACCTAACATACATAAATCTCTACCAGCATCTTTATTAGGTTCCCATCTCTTCTGTGTGTGTGCGTGCGTGTGTGTGTGTATCACTAGCAAAGTTTTTGAATGCTGTGCCCTATCAAGGAAAAAAAAAAGTCTGATGGATAATGATGGAAAACCAAATCCCTCCAAATTATCTTTAAATTAGTTTGTGTCAATTTCCATCAAAATCCTTTTCTTTTTTGATACGGTAGGAAGAATTTAACAAATTAATTCTAAAGCTCCTTGGGAAAATTAAGTGGTCACTCATTAAAAGAATTTTTCAGCAAAGAAAGACAAAGGGAGATTTAAATTGCCCATTAATGAAACAGATCTTAAAGCCACGACAATCAGAGTCAAGCAGAAAAGTCCATGAAAGAGGTCAGAAAACCCAGAAATCAATGCATATTTAAATACAACAAAGATGGCACTTCAAATAAGTAGGAAAAAAACCAGACAATTTACATCTTAGGGCAGCAGCAGAGCACAGCATGGGAGGGAAGAGCCTGTGGGGCTGGACAGGCGGCCCCGGATGGCACGCCAGCGAGGCGCGTCCCAGCTGGGTGACCCCGGACAACCAGTGTCTTTATCTGTAAAACGAGGACAGTCATTGTACCTACTTCACAGGACTGCTGCGAGGATTATCAGTTATCATTTGTGAAGTGCTCAGAACAGGCATTAAAACAGTAAGTGCTATATATGTGATATTAAATAAATAAAAGAAAGCAATTCATGCTATGATAATCCTTAAACTCTTGGGAGCAGAAGGGAGGGACACATAGGGAACAGATTCTCTCATCATACCACACTGAGAAAATATGCAACATTATCAGTAATCAAAAATCCAAATTAAAATATTTCAACCATCGAATTGGTCAAAGTTTTAGAAAAAAATTATACTGGTGGCCAACTAGGCAGAGACATTGGTACAATTCTATATGGAAGATAGAAGAATACTCTGAAACAATCTTTCCAAGGGTCACTTTGATTATATGCTTCAAAAACCATTTAAAATATTAAGCCCCTTTGACCTAATAATTCAATCTCCGGGACAAAGTTGGAACATAAGGACTTCAACAGAAAAGTTTCAAGTCACTTTTTCAGAGATGAACTAGAATCAGGGAAAAAAGGATGTGAAGAAATATTTTAGTTTCAGATATAAGGCTAAGAATTTTTACCTTCTAAAAATTCAAGTCTTGTTTCACTGTATAATTAATGTTTAATATTACCAAATTGCAAAAACAAAAAAACAAACAAAAAAACAGTTTTAAAACAAACCTTTTAACAGCATCCTTCTTCGGCTTATCTATAGTATCCCACCACTTTGAAAGGTAAGAAATCTCAGACCACATAAATTTTCTCCGTGAGTCTTCTTTCAGCTTGATGACCATGTTATTAAAAATATACTGAGTCATCTCTCTAAAGTAGTCATCAAAAGTCTTCAACCAACCTAAATCAAGACACAAATATACAACAAAGGTCTGATTCATATGTCTGATTTCAACTCAGTCACATTCCATTGCATCACCTTTGGATACCCTTAGATGTTTCATTCATATTAAGACACATTTAAAAATTTCAGAAATGTTTCAAGTGGTGAAATTCCATTTCAATGGATACGAAACTCAAAAAGTCACTGATGACAAAACACTCTGAAAACTGCACAAATTCAGATAGAAATGAGGGAAAAAATGAGAAAAATGACCTGAGGCCCAAAAGCATTTATTTATGCTTAGTAATTATAGTATTGAATTCAATTATTTATAATTTATCTCTAATTTAAGGAATTTGCTTTAATTCTAAAAATCTGAACAGCGTTAACAAGCTGGCAGTACTACTCATAATGTAATGAAAACTGTATCCCTTCATACCACATCTGAAACTCCCTACCCATTTTAGTAAGTTAAATTAAGAAAAAGAAAAGTATAAACTATATCTAAAAGTCAGCAGCAAAGCAGTAAGGTAATTAATAGCACTATTATGAATACAGAGAAGTAGAATTCTGCCAAGAACGGGCATTAGTTTCCAAAGGCTGTAAATTATTCCATTTTTTGGAAGCACAAATTGACACTAATCAAACAACACAAGTGTATACATGTATGTCAAGTCTTTTTCAAAAGAAAATTGTAGATACTGAGGACTTAGTTCTCAGACTTTTCTCAAATATCCTGGAAGTTTTATCTAAAGATATTTGCAATTTCACTATAAAGAAACATCTTTTTATAAGATTCTATTTATTTGACAGAGAGAGAGAAAGAGAGCACAAGCAGGGGGAGTGGCAGGCAGAGGGAGAAAAGCAGATGCCCCGCTGAACAGGGAGCCTGACACGGGACTCGAATCCAGGACCCTGGGATCATGACCTGAGCTGAAGGCAGACGCTTAACTGACTGAGCCACCCAGGTGCCCCATCCCTATAAAGAAACATTTTTAACAAGACCCATAGGTCCAAGCATAGCCCTATCTGGCAGAGCATTAAAGCAACATGATGAGCTGCTGAGGCAAAATCATACCCAGCTATCTATTGGCCACGTGGACCTTCCAAAGAACAACCTCTTATCCATGAAATCTTATAGAGAGATAGGAGTTTCTATACAACCAGGCTAAACTACTGCTCTATTTTTTCCAAACCTCAAACATGTGGGGAGACTAAACTATTAAGGGGTCAACTGGTTCGTTCTTTTGTTTATAATTAATATCTGAAATATACTGTATTAGCTGGAAGATAATAAAATGTGCTAGGGCAGAGAAGACAATGCAACTATTTTGACAATGTAAATATGAGCTTCTGAAAAGGGCACTGACACTCTGTATTTCTCCCTTTTGCTTTAACTAAAATCTATTCATTCATTCCATAGTTATTTAGTGAGCATGTACAAAGCGACAGGTATGAAGCCAGAAGCCAAAGAGGAATTCAGTGTAAAATATTCTTTACGAGGACTTTCTTGATCTGGGACACCTTTAAGTTATTTTTAAAGTCACCAAAGAATACTACATGGATAGTTTAACTTTTCCATGTTTAAATAAAAAGCCTATCTATATAGAAAATTCAAAGATAGCTCATGAAATAGTGGTTTGCAAAGAATCCCATCTTGCTTGGCAAAGGTACAAACTTGGGACTCCTGCCCCAGACCGCAAAGCCAATATCCACATCTGGATTCCCAAGGACAAGCAAAGAAAAGCCAACCTACCCCTAGCATGCTCCAACTCGCTGCTAATGCTGACCATGCCAACATCCAAGACAAAAAAACATCAAGTGCTCAGACCAGAGTCCAGGATATAACACAGGACTTGATAAATGTTAGTTGCTATTATTATTATCACCTTCATCAGTCTTTAATGGACCCTTCCCCATCTCTACAATCAAAACAGGTAAAAGAGGAAATAAAAGATATTTCTAACAACTAAATTTTGAAAAGGGCACATTTATTTAAAACATTTAAATAAACTGTTCCACATCTTAAACATATTGATAACCCAAAACTTTGGTTTGCAAAGAATTCATTCTATGCCCCTATTAAGGGCTGAATTGTGTCCCCTCAAAATTCCTATGTTGAAATCCTAAACCTCAATACCTCAGAATGCAACTGTATCTGGAGACAGGGTCTTTCAAGAGGTGATTAAGGTATAATAAGGTCATGAAGGTGGGCCCTAATCCAATATGTCCTTACAAGAAAAAGCAATTAGGACACAGACATACACAGAGGGAAGACCATGCGAAGACAGGGGGCTATCTGCAAGCCAAGATGAGAGGCCTTCAGAAGAAACCAACACTGCTGACACCTTGATTTTGGACTTGCAGCTTCCATAACTGTAAGGAAATAAATTTCTGTTGCTTAAGCCACCCAGTCTGTAGTACTTTGGGATGGCAACCCTAGCAAACTAATTTAGCCCTAGAAAAAATCAGGGTTATTACCATCCGAAAAACAAAGATTGCACTGTGGGGAGAATTTATTTTACCAAGGACCATTATAATATTTAATTTAACATGTATCTACCTCCATATTGCAAGACTGAGCTAAAATCAAATGTTTGGAAGTGACCTCTCCTTCTGCATCATGCTCTTATTATACATGTGCAGTGAGGACCATGTAAATTCCTGAAATGGCTCTGTGCAAATTATTGTCTTTAAGACATCACACATAGGTGTTTTACCTAAATTTTAACAAAGGTCAAAACTAAGCCCTAATTATTTGGCTATTAACTCAATAAAAGAAAAGAGCTATTAACAATGGAATGACTCCAAAATTAATTTAATAATAAAACTCTAGTAATCTAGCATAGAAAGCAAATTTAGAAGAAACTGTCTTTATGAAGCTGAATAAGTAACAGTTTTTTTTTTCTTTTTTAAGTACAATTACTTGTTTTCATCAGTTATAATTTGTTATTAGCTAAGACCCTTTCAAAGAATAGTTTATCATAGGAGTTTTCATAAAGAAATCACAGTGACTGATTAATCCATGTTGCCTTCAACACTTCATTTGCCCTTCAACAATCATGCAGAAAATATGTCAAAGATATTTACGTGAGCCAAAATACATGCTGAGATGTCAACTTAAAAGCCTCCCATAAAACTCATCTATAATAGATACTAATATCACTAAAATATAACACAATTAATGAAGAATGAACTAAAAGATAGCCTCTTGCAGCTTTCAATATTGAGTAATATAACAGTAAATTAGCTTTTATTGCTCTTATACAATAATCAAGTATTCCCTTTTACACTGAATTGGCTCTTTCTTTTCCTCAATTACTGTAAAACTACAATTGTATATTAACATAAGACCAATCAGAAAGACAGTATTTTATGAAAAGTTGTATGGGATGATTTTTTGTGACATAAAATTATATTCCTACCTCTGGATTTAATAATCCTAGGACATTGAGTTGCAAACTGATTTACTTAAGTGGTCAATTCACAGCCTTTTTCTTTCCCTTGAATACACTTGGAAATTGAACCAGGGCTAGAATAGCACGAAGAATACCTTTCCATTTACTCTTTTTCCCCTCTAACAACACTTCAACCCATAAAACAGCTAGTCACCATTTTTAAGTAAGTGGGGAAATATCTAAAACAAAGAATACATAATTAGAAGTTCTTTAAAGCAGGCATAACTCCAAGTTTGCTATCACTATTTTATCATAAAAAATTTTAAGTTTTAAAATATAAAGCCTAATAAAGTTGACAACCCAATGCTTATTTTTAATGCTTGTGAACAATTAAGCACCTCGTAATTGTTCACTGACAAAACACTATTTTTTAAAATTTGACTCTTGATCTTGCTTCAAAATCTAAAGACTTTGTGGCACTCTGATCCTCTCAAGGAACACTCAGTTTTATTTGGTTCAAGAGCATACACAGCACCAATTTAGCACTTGGGCAAGGGGATCCCTTCCTGAGCCCTGGTCACTTGAGGGATCTTCCTATTTGTCCTCTGACCATATTCTTTTCACACAATAAATTCCCAAAGCAAAGAACCTGCCCAACCAGAGCCTGCCCTGACTTGCCCTGACCTGCCCTTCTGAGTACCAGGGCCCAGAAATCTGTGTTCAAACAGCCTCAAGCCAGTTTCTAGAGCCCACCAAGGGCCTTCTATAGGTTTTTCTATAGGGAAGTCGACCTGCAGGTGGTAACCTCCCTAGCCTGAGCAATGGGCAGGGGGAATGCAGTTTGCAGGGGTGTGGGAAGAGTGCTGGAGTGTCTGCAAAGGAGGGCCTTGTTTAGGACAGGGCCATTTCTGGGAGACAGGGCTGGGCTACTATAGGCTGGCTCTTCCCACATGCACCAACACATTCCAGTAGAGAACTGGAGCCTGATCGATCTCAACCCACACATGGCCTTCCTGATAATGGTGCTATTTCTCAAGGCAGGATGAAAAGACCTATCCTTATTTAGCAATGTATCAGTTTGATTTATAATTTTTAAATGTTTATACAAAGGGCCTGAGGACCTCCAGGTATTTCTGCCCCAATTCCTACAAATTTGAGAACCTATAACCCGAACTTCAAAGCATTGAATTCTCATGAAGCCAGCACCTAGTATGAAGCCTACACCATCAAGAATTCAGTAAGTATGTGATAGATGAATGAAATGCACGGCCAAAAGGATAGGGGAAAAAAGGTATATGAAATATAAATACAAATTTATTACTCCAACTGGAAATGAAACCAAAAGGAAAAGACATTGCACACATACACAATTAGCTCTAATGCATTCATTGTCTGTTCTGATGCTAACCTAATAATCTTTGGTCATTATCTCTTAAGGTTCTATTTTATATTTAAAAAAGCTCTGTCAGCCCTAAGATAATTTAAAACACACATCCTCTCGGGGGCGCCTGGGTGGCTCAGTTTGTTAAGCGACTGCCTTCGGCTCAGGTCATGATCCTGGAGTCCCGGGATCGAGTCCCGCATCGGACTCCCTGCTCAGCGGGAGTCTGCTTCTCCCTC